GGGTTTTATTTTAGCGATGCCTTTAATTGGAAAGTAGTTGTAAGCTTTATGGAGTAATGTCAACTTTATGACAGCATACCAAAATAACAAGATTGATCTGCAGGTTTGAAACAAATGCACCTTCCCTACAATAAAGTTTTGTGAATTCGGCGGCCTTGATGATACAGCAAGTCGGCTTGAAGAGGAACACACGATCCCCTTGACAACTGCCTCTGCCTCTCGCCTGGCTACAAGTAAGACATTTAACATTAAGAAAAGCTAAAGTATCAGCGTCTAAGATAATAATAATGTTAAACTATGTTTTGAATAGACATTGAAACAATCATCTTAGAAGATAAAGAAAGTTGTAGAGTCGTGACTTGGGATAATTTCTTCCTTATCAAAGGGCAATAACACTTCAAGGACATCCATCCTCTGATCATTGAGTTTTATTCTCAATCTTTAAAAACAACCCCGCTGTATCTCATACTTTCAATTATCATTATTGCTGTAGCTAGTGTAACTATTCTGTCAGTAATAGTATTGTCAGTTGGCGGCATAATTGTAGTGACAAATGATAATAATGACAATGATAATAGCTGAAGTGATAAGAGAAGTGATTGTAATCTATTAATGGCAAAAAGGAAAATACTCTAAAGATAATGCATAATGATATGTCTTAAAAGTTATCATATTTATTTATATGATTTTTTTCCTCTTTATATTTATCATTATTATTGATGCTGTTGTTATTACTCTGCCTATTAAAATATTGATGAGGATAAGCAATAATAGGAATAACAGTAATGGTAATAATAAAGTTAGTGATGATAATAATGATAGTAGCAATAATTTCATTAATGATAATAATGATAATAATAATAGCAATGGTAATAAAATAATGATATCAGTGATAATGACAATAATTGATTATATTTTTTATTATGATGATGATGATTATTATCATAATAATGATGATGATAGTTATTATTTGTTTTTATTATTATTGATAATGATAATATTAATGCTGATATTATGATATTGTTATTATTATTGTCATTATTATTATTGTTATTATCATTAGATATTATTTTTTCAAATTATTGTCATTATTATCATTATTATTGATATTATTGTTATTAGTTTTATTATTGTTATTATTATTATTATTATTATTATTATTATTATTATTATTATTATTATTATTATTATTATTATTATTATTAGTTTTATTATTATTATTGTTATTATTATTATTATTATTATTATTATTATTATTATTATTATTATTATTATTATTATATTATTATATTATTATTATTATTATTATTATTATTATTATTATTATTATTATTATTATTATTACAGTTATTATTATTATAGTTTTTGTTGTTGGTATCATTGTTGTTATTATTATTATATTTATCATTATTATTTTCATCATCATCATCATCATTATAAATGAGAAAGAAAAGAAAAGAAATGAAAAAAACTGTACTAATACTATTGAAAAGTAAGTGAATGTGATACTAATAATAATAGTAATCATAATAATGATAATAATGATAATATTAAAAATTATAAAAATAATGATAATAGTAGTGATGATAATGATAATGATGATTGTTATTATTCCTATTATCATTATTATCATTATCATAACTGTTATCACTATTTTTGTGATAATAATGATAATAATGATTATTATTATTACAATCATTATTATTAGTAGTAGTTGTAGTAATAGTAGTAGCAGTAGTAGTAGTAGTAGTAGTAGTACTATTATCATTATCTTTTATTATCATCATTATCATTATTATCATTATTATTATTATTATTATTATTATTATTATTATTATAATAATTATTATTATTATTAGTTATTATTATTATAGTTTTTGTTGTTGGTATCATTGTTGTTATTATTATTATATTTATTATTATTATTTTCATCATCATCATCATCATTATAAATGAGAAAGAAAAGAAAAGAAATGAAGAAAAAAATGTACTAATATTAATAAAAAGTAAGTGAATGTGATAGTAATAATAATTAATAATAATAATGATAACAAAAATGGCAATATTAAAAATTATAATAATAATGATAATAGTAATGATGATAATGATGATTGTTATCATTATTATCATTGTTATGATTGCTATTATCATTATTATCGTTATCACAACTGTTATCACTATTATTGTGATAATAATGATAATAATAATAATTATTATAATAATAATAATAATTATTATTATTATTATTAGTAGTAGTAGTAGCAGTAGTAGTAGTTGTAGTATTACTATTATCATTATCTTTTATTATCATCATTATCACTATTATCATTATTATTATTATTATTATCATCTTATTATTATCTTATTATTATTATTATTATTATTATTATTGTTTTTTTATTAATTATTATTTTATATTATTATTATTATTATTATTAATTGTTGTATTATTATAACAACTATTATTGTTATTATTATAACAACTATTATTATCATTATTATTACCATGATTGATAATGATGATTGCTATTGCAGATGATTTGTTGTTTCTGTTATTATTATTACAGGTTAGTCAATATAGTTACTCTTAATACAAATCTCTATTATTGCACGTGTTATGATACTTAGAGTATATTAATTGTCTGACTGTCTTTGTCTTGTTTATCACATCAGGCTGTTCTGATTACTGTGATACTGTTTTTAAGAGCAGGCTGATATATTAATGATAAAGTTTCAAATATTTTTGATATTTTAGTAATGTATTTTCATATCCTTTTTAGTTATATGTAGTGGATTACTATAAATTTTTTATTTACTGATCATTTTGCAGTTTCAGAACAATGAAGCTACAAATTTTCACAGTCGATGCCTTCACTGATCAACCCTTCTCTGGAAACCCGGCTGCTGTGGTGCCCCTCCTGGAGGTGAATATGGTTTGAGAGATTTTTATTTTGAGCTTGGAGAGTTGATGTACTGTGTTTAGCATTACTGATTATAAATAAATATTGATTATTTTATAAAATTCTTTTCAGCCTTTAGAAGAGCAGACACTGCAAAATTTGGCTTCAGAACTCAACCTGTCAGAGACAGCATATGTCAGTCCCATAGGAGGTGACACTGAATCATGGGTGACTTCATCTCAATTCACTCTCAGGTGGTTCACACCAACAAATGAGGTACCCCTTTGTGGCCATGCAACCTTGGCCACTGCCCACACTCTATTCAATTGTTTAGGTATACAGGTTTGAATTCTGTTTTAAATGAGTATGAAATATGATAATTTTGGTTAGACATTCAATCCTTTATGAAATAAAAGATTTAATGACTTTTAAGTATGACTCTAATTTCACTAGAATCTTTTTTACATGGTAGTGCATTGTTAATTGATTTATTTTCCAAATAGCTTTAATTAAATACATTTTCCATTGATATGGTGCATGCAGTATTTTATTTATATATATTTTTTTATTTACAGGAAATAGGAACAACAGATTAGAGTTTAAGACTATGAGTGGTGTGTTAGTTGCTCGAAAGGAGAGCAGCAACATTGTTTTAGATTTCCCAGAAAATCCGCCTGAGCCTCTAACAGCAGAACAAACAACTGATTTAGATGTTCTTGTGAAAGGAGTGGTTAACAACCTCCTTGTAGATACTGTTTTACTTTCACACACAACAAAGAAACTTCTAGTGAAGCTTCATAGCTCATGTACTAGGTAAGATATTACAATCAAACATGATAAAAGAATTCTTAAAATTTCTTTCATTGTATTTTTGATTGTGGAAACAATAATGATAATGATGTTGAATTGAATATGCATATAATTTATTCAGGAAATTCAGATTTTTTCTAAATTACATATCAGTAAAAGTTTTTATAGCCCTCCAGCATTTGTTCCCACTTTATTATCATTTGTACCCTTCTAAAGATCTAGATCTTGATTTAATGTGTCCAGAAGATATTGTTGAAAAAATGTAACTGCATATTATTAACATAATTTAGACTTTATTGCAGGAATTTACACAAATTATATGGTCATTGCCTGAATGGTGTATTCTGTTTCAGGAAAGACCTGGAAAGCCTAAAGCCAGATACTGCATCATTATTAAGTCTTCATAATGGATCATTAGTCAAAGGAATTATAGTTACTCTGAGTGGTGGGCTGCAAGGGGAGATGTCAGAGGACAGTCAGCTTTACCATTGCATTTCTCGCTACTTTGCACCTTGGAATGGCATCCCAGAAGACCCTGTTACTGGTGAGTATGAGGCCTTGAACAATGTATGAAGTGATCAAATATGTAAAGTAATGATATTTGTGGTTTGCATAGTTTTTTATTATTTTTTTTATTTAATATTCTTAACATCATTATAATACTTCTAATAGATATTATCACAACTATTAGCAATAAGTATTACTGCTGTAATTATGATCATAAAAAAGAACATGTGTGTCATTTCTGAAGTATTCTTTTCATATTATGTGTGGTTCCTCTGCCCTTGAGAAGCTCATTGCAAAGGCAATGTATCAACTAAGACCTCCAATTTTAATTCCCATTTTTTCTGTAAGATGGCTACAAAGGTAGCTTCTCTTTCTCTTTTCATTATTACTTTGATGGTTGTTTAGATACGCTGGTTGCCAGTGCAACCTGACCATGTAATATCCAATAGACCACCTCATCACAGTAAACTCATGACATCAATTCAGATATAATGGATGTGTTCCTACTTTTCAACTTATGGTATATTAGTTTATTTATATTTAGATAATAAATTTTAACTTTAATTCTACATTATTTTTTATTTTCTATCATCACTTCTAATTTGCCTTTTACTTTTCTGATTGCTTTCATAACCATGTGTAATACATAATAACTTAGTGTAATTGTAACATATAAGCACACAGTAAGCCCACTGCCCTTAACTGAATATTACCCCTTTGATACTAGGTGTTTTTTTCATCTTGTTTACATGTAAAAAGTTCAAGAAATCCTTGGTCACCGAAGAGTCAAATAATAGTCCTACCTAACCTAAGCTATTTACTTCATTTCCTGAATATTCAGCAAAAAGTGTTCAAGTTTTCATTTCTATTACTATTTTTGTGAGTAACATCATAATGACAATGTTAATGGTGATAATTTGAAGAACATTAATAATGCTAAGAGTAGTGAGAAGATGTAAGAACGTTTTCTTTGAGAATTTAAGAAATTTGATAAAGAAGTGAGGTCATTTAAGCTTAGTAATGGACTGTTGGGGACTAAACTTTTTTAAAGCCATCTGTGAGCCACAGTATACAGTGCATGTGTACCTATCACCATTGGGTCAACAGTAAGTGAATTAGGGCTTCTTAATAGTAACATAGCTAAGATATTTCAATCTTTAACTTTTGATTTACAGGTTCTGCACACACTGTTTTAGGCCCCTTCTGGTCAAAAGAGTTGGGAATGACTCGCCTAAGATGTAAGTTTTGCATATTTTTTCCATGATGTCGTCTTTATCTTCTTTTATTAGAAACAGAAGGAACATTGCAATATTGGCATCCTCACATACAAATTTGCCAAATTTTCATTCATAGCATTTAAAAAAATATTTGTTTGGTACATTATGTTTTCTCTTATGTTTCAATAACATCTCAGATTTATTATATCATTTAAGTTCGTTTCTAGAATATATAATACATTGTGAAATCCAAGCATTAGAAATACTAAAGGTTATCCATACTTTTCTTATCACAATATTGGTAGGCAAGTCATATGACCATACTTATGCTAATATGCAGTGGTATTTACACAAGGTATAACATTGTCAAATTCTTCAATTCATTATATATGTATCCTAATTTATAATAGTTCCTTGTTTTTGGGAGACCAAGAATGATATAGTATCAATATTGACTGACTTCACCCCTTTCAAGAACCTTACCTTTAGATATTTATTGCACTCACTGAAAGTCATCCCAACATCTTTATGTTTGTGGAAAAGACTTATATATGTCATTTATTTAAAGATATGTCATTTATTTAAAAAGTTGACATTGAGATTTGTGAGGAGCATCGTGAATTTGTCACTCTCTTCTTGGATGATTTAGTGGCAGTGACTCTTAAAGCAAAATTTAGATGCCTTAGGAAGAAACCATAATTGAAGTCGTTCATAAAAATCAGTGAATATTTCCATTTTACTGCTTCATATGCATAAATTTTGAAGTAAATGTCTTATGAAGAATATATTATTATGTGTATTAACATTATTGATGATTGAAACCTCATCGTTTATCTCTGTTCCATGAAGCTTGTCATGACTAGATTTTGTTAGAACAGATGCTATAGCCTAACAAGGATGATCTTACAGGATGTGCCATTCTGTTGCTTATGTATAGCTGATGCATCAATGCAATGCCCCATAAGTGTGCAAAAATATGAAATACGAGCAACATACATACTTGAAGGTTTTCTTAACTTTATTCTTTCTTACCTGCTAGAAGCTGCTTCTGAAACAAAATGCAAAAAAAAGTGGGTGCAGCAATTTAGAAAATATGTTCATTATAAAAGAACAGATTTTGAAAATATGTTCCTTGGAGTTACTATTTAGTAATTATGTTATGATAGTGGAAGTATGATGTGTAATTAGCTACACAGAACCAGTCATTGCATTTACATACTTAGATATGATGTGTTTCATAGAAAACCTGAGGCATCCTTATCAGGTACCCAGTGTGCCTGCTTATAATGCTGGCTCTTAGTCATTTTTCACCACAGATTCCCGTGCTCACAAGAGTAATGCCCTATTTCAAGGAAACTTTATAAACTCCCCCCCAAAAAAAAGGGAAGAGAAGAAGAAGGCTGATGCCCTTCATAACCTTGAGCAGGGCTTGAACCCACTAATCACCAGCTGTGCCATAGTACCACAGTGACCATCATAAATGAGGATTAATACAAATGCTCTGAGCATAGCAAATAATGGACTTATTATCTTGAAGTGGTATAATAATAAGTGTCAAGGTACACTGTCGTTAATATGCTCTCTTTACTCAACAAAAAGAAGAAAACCATATCAGATTGACGTGTATATTGAATCCAGGTTAACAACTAGCCTTAGAATACAATATCAGCCAGTTATTCAAGGACAATTTCTTTTGCAAGATTAGAGGCAGATTTGATATCAAGGAATCCAATAAACATACTTGATGTGACTCATGAATTTGCTAGATACTTTGCAAAACAATGTTGACTACATTTTGCAAACAACACAACACATATGTGATGAGCATGATAAAAAATTATTCTCTGAAGTATTGCATACAGAACCAAAGTAAAAGTATTTATCAGTGTTTGAGTTAGAGAAACAAATGCTTAAATTCTTAACTACAAAGCTTGGAAATAGTATGTTTGGATATAAAAGTGATAATTGAGCATTGCATCACAGTATAATTTAATATACTGATGCCAGTAGTGCATGTATACATGCACTGTCCACTGAGGTTTTTGTTGATTTTCTTTGCACACAGA